AGATTGGCAGAGGTTGCCATGCTGGACCATTTCCAGAGGCAGAGCTCCTGGCAGTGGCTAAGGAGGGCAACCCAACCAGAAAGGAGGTTCTAGAAGAGTGGGGCAATGAGCAGTGAGTACTCACTGGCATTTGGTGAGGACTGGGCAGAGACACTCACTGTGGGGAACCTGGCATGGCCCCAAAAGGCAAACAGGAGAGCCATCTTGCCACGTGTCTCGTCCACAGCTGTTGTGAGTGCTGGGCAGTTCCCGCCCCGTGATGGCAGGCCTGTGGCTCAGTATTGAGGAACCTGCCTTGGAATTCCTAGTATGCCTTGCTTTGATTGCACCTTCTTGGACCCCGGGGTTCCTAGCTAGATTATTGAGTTGAACCAGGGTCACAGGTGTCCCAGACTGACCTCAAACTGTGTTGCCAAGGATGACCTTGAACTCCTGATCCTCCTGCCTCTACCTCTCAAGGGCTGGGATTACTGGTATAATTCCACCACACCTGGTTTATTCAGAACCAGAGGATTTAACTCAGGGCTTTGGATGTGCAAGGCAAGCACTCTACCAACTCAATCTAGAGCCCGGCACTAGATTTTGGCGTCAAAATCACCTCTTCATTTTTCTTCTCGGCAGAAGACCTGCTATCACAAGCCTCCCAAAGCAGGGCTGGAAGTGGGACATGCAGTGGGTGGTTCTTCTAGGAGCTATGCCAACGCCTGCAGTTCACACCGGTCCCAGGGCAGAGCTTTGGGGTCAGCTGAGGTTTGTGCAGGGCACAGCAGGCAGACAGGAGCTCCTGCCCTCTGTGTTGAGGGCCCAGACGTAGAAAGAATGGAGCGCCTCGTGCCATTGGCCTCATGGAGTAGGAAGGAGCCGAGGACCGGATGACCCACTTACAAACCGGCTCCTTTTAAAGCAGCGTGCCTGGGACCAGGGGCTGCTTTAAGTGGGTTGGCTGACACACAGACGTTGGTCTTAAACTCTTCAAAACCCAGCTGTTAAACACCGGCAATCTGTTTTCATTAGCGTGTAAGCCCCAGCACTGGGGACCTGCCTTGTTCGGGAAGCAGCAAGTGTGCCTAGAGGCTAGTAAACAGCAGGTGCCTCCACATGAAAGGCTCTCCCTTCTCCCCGGAAGGGCAGATCTGAATCCTAGCGCTAGCATGTCTAGGAAGTGTGTGTGGCGTGTGTAGAGTATGTTTCTGTGTGGTAGGGAGTGCGTGCAGATGTGTGTGAGGAGAAGGGTCTGTCGTTGGACGGGACAGACAAAGCGATGACAGAAACAATAGCCACATCATTTGCAGGGCCTGGTGCAAGATGAAAGCAGGCGTGAAAATCTCAGGACGCAGGATGGAAACAAGTTAGAGCAAAGCCTTCATGGTGGGGAGGGCGCTAGCGAAGAAAGCGCGGTTCCCATCTCCCTTAGACCTTCCTTGCTGCCCTGGAAACCTCTGAGTTGCAGTCTGACAGGAGGGGCAAGGAGTCCTGCGTAGCCTAGGAATTGGCCTTTCCTGTGTCTTCTCTTCTAGGCCAGGTCCCGCAAAGAGCACCGCTATTCCCAAAGCGTCAAGCATCCTTGACTCCCTGTTCAAGAAACAGCTTCATCTCTCTGCGTGCTGTGGAGACTCAAGCCTCTCTCTGATGTTACCAGGAATCAGGAACCATTCAAAGAGGCTCAGGTGCCCTTGTGGTGGTTTACATGGGGATCCCTGTGGGTCTGCGGCCAGCCTGGGCTGCATACTGCATCAGGACAGCCTGGGCTACAGAGTAATAACCTCTCTCAAAAAGAAAACAAATAATAATATGAATAAAAGCAGGATTGAGTATCTCCACTTCACACCAAGGCCTTCTTGGGCCCAAGCAACTCTGTCCTGAGCTCCTGTCAAGCTGGCGACTTTGCTGTGGAGAGAAATGGCCAAGAACCGGGAGCTGGTGCAAAACCTAAACAAGAGGGCAGAGGGTGGAGGCTCCCCGTGCCCTTCCTGTTTATTGTCCTGGGCTGTTTCTTCCTGGGTCAAGTTCAGGGTGCCTGCTTCAAAGTACACACAGAGGTACTCACAGGTGATAATGAGGGTGTCCCGCCCTAGCCCCAATACCTATCTATACTGGTCAATAATTACACCTGATGTCCCGGGTTCTGGGAGGAGTTGATGGCTCTCACCTTCCCTGTGGGTTTAGATTCTCAGTACACTGTCAGCACCCATCACTGCCAGGTCTCCAGTTTTCCAGGTGTTCCAGGTGTGGGTACCTAACAAAAGCTTAGGACTTAAGAACTCACGTCGGTCATGTTCCTATGACTAGCCAGAAATGGGCCCTGCGTTCAGCTAAACCACGTGGCTCTGGGAAAGGGAACTGGTCCCTGCACAGAAAGCACCTGCCACAAGGACTCCTTTATAAGGCCCAAGTGGTGGGTTGAGAGTGGGGATGGAGACGGACATGTATTCATGCAGGGACAAATCAGTTTTCAAGGGGAAAAACTCCAAAATTGGTCTTTGCCAATTTCCGTGGTCTCATTGCTCCACTGCATCCAATTTCAAGCTATGAATCCACTTAGCAACAAACTCAGAAACTTCCTGAACCTTTAATAATCAGTTCTTGCCTCACTACGGGCCATGGCCACTGCCCTGTACAGAGGCCAGCAGCAGCAGCACAAGCCCTCGGGTCACAGGGCAGCCTCCCGGCATCCCGTCCAGCTCATCTTCATTTCTGCCATGCAGCTACGGTGCTGGACCAGAGATCTGACTTCCACATTGGGAAGTGTGACCTGAGAACTCTGCCGCAGACATTTCCTGGCTCTCTACCTGTACAAAGCCTCCCTCAGCCACATCTCCGCTCGTCGCCACTTCCAGGGGACCTGGTGTGCAGGATAATGAATCCCAGGGAGCTAGGAAGTAACAGGGTCAGACCTCTGGCTCATGGGATCACACTCATTCCCAGGGCCCCAAGTCTATCCATAAGGGTGTCTTTGCAGAAGGGACTTTCTAGTCTTGTAGGTAGCTGGGCCCTGTCTCTGGATACGTGTTGTTCATTGCACAATTGCCTTAGAGTCTTACCTTCTCCTGATCCCTTTCCGGCAACCATTCCACTCCCTTGGGATCCTGGTATGCCACCTTGGCCCCACCTCAGTCAGGCAGCTGTGATGAACCCTGTTGACCAAATGCATCTCTGATGGCTCATTGTGCCAGGTAGAACGTGCTGAGGGGTTTGCAGAGTGGCGGAGACCCTGGGACAATACAGAGGTAGTACAGAGGTCCCAGCTAGGTGCTGAGTGATGGCTGGTCTAAGGAGAGAGACAGGGGCATTCTCTCAGCCAGGCACAACCGCCACAGGTGCCCGCTAACCTATCCTGACCTCCCTTCTTTAACCTCTCCCACTCTGTGACTGCACATAGCTAGGCCCAGGGTCCTGCACAGGCCACTCCATCCCAGGATAAGTTTCTAGAGGAGCAAAGGCCATCATGGATGTCAGTGTCATGTGCTCCAGCCTTGGGTCATTGCAGGAGGACTTGTGAACACGCACAGGAGAGGACAGAACACATGTTCCCCCAGAAGTATGCCTTGTGTCAGCACAGCCTAGAGAGCTCCTTGGAGAAGATGACATCTGAACAGAGCCATGAAACTGGGACGCTTCTCTGTCCCTAACTCACACACAGGCCAGCTTGAGCCCTTGGACCCGCAGATTTGCTCTGTGGTTGTTAGAAACACAGGCAAGGCTGTCATGATCCCAGCAGTGGAGGGGGCAATGTGTCACCATGGCAATCTCCTCCGGGTGGAGCCCCCCCCCCCCCGCTCCATACTGTGCGTGTTTCCCACTGAGAACAAACTAGTGAGGTTCTCCATAGCTTTTCAGATGAGGTGTGTGTGTGAGAAAGGTTGGAGCTTTGGGGGCAGGGACTCTTGGAAGGCCTTCTAGAAGACAAGAAAGAAAGACAGGGAGAGAAGATACTGTCCTCAAGGGGCTGGGCATGGGGCTCACCCAGACCTGGAGGGAGTCCAGTCTGCTGCTGAACTCAGGACGTCATTCTCTGAAGTTCAAGATTTGTGCCCACCTACTTCTGGGTCTTCATGAACCCATAGGCCAAGGTCTTGCCCCATAGTAGGCCGACTCTGAATTAGGAGTGGCCAGTAAAGAAAATGACCACAGTAAAATGTGTTTATAAAAATTTTTATGTATGGGGGAAGGCCCTAACTGACTTGGAAACAATTTCTGTCCATGCTTGTGAGGGTGTACTTCTGCTATCCCAGCGCACTGGAGGCTGAGGTAGATTGGCTGTGAGTTCAAGGCTAGCCTGGCTACACAGGAAGACCCTCTCAAAAAGTCATAATAAAGAGATGATAGTGATAGAGATACATATAAGTAGATAGACATATGATTGATAGATCTTAGAGACAGACGAAGCTACAGATAGGTAAACAGATAGCAGATGAAAATAGGTAGGCATATGGTTGCTAGCTGTTGGAGATGGTCAACACACGATGGATGATAGCTATGTGATGAATAGACAGTGGAGACCGACAGGTGGGGATATAGATGGGTGGGTAGAAAGCAGGTGATGGACAGGTGAGAGATCCATGATAGACTTGAGATTTCTTGATTCTCTCCAGGCTCCACATTTAATCTAGAACGTATGAGTCATCTCATCGGTGCGCACACTGAGAGAGCAACGTGTCCGAGTGCCTTCCCTTGACAGCCTCCAGCAGGGATGAGTGAGGTCGAAGGGGTCCCCTCTGCTGGAGCAGATGGAGACCTGCTTCAGGTCTCCCCTTCTCTGGCTCATGGTAAACTCCAGAATGCCATCACATCTGCGCCCTCATTTGGGTTATTCTGGGACACAGGTTGGAGAGGGTCCCTCAGCCCTGGCCGCTGACTCTGGCTGAGACTGCCTTTCTTACCAGGTGGGCTGGCTGGTGTCAGGTGGATGGGTACCGAGGGTGGGGCACTCATCTTGCTAGTCAGGCAAGATGCTGACAGGAGGGCGGGACAAGGGGGTGGAGCTTCTAGAACAAAGAAGAATGAGGAGCCCTGGGGGCCCAGCTGGGCATCAAAAAGGCCGCGTACAGAACAAGCAGAGCACAGACAGCCTGCCTCTGTGCCCAGCAGCCTGCCAGATACCCTGGACCTGCTCCCTTCAACTTGCCCAGGCTGGGCAAGTACACAGCCCTGTCGTCAGAGGCCTTGCTCTCCAGCGTGATTGCGCCCACACTGCTCTGTGCCTTTCTGTACTTGGCTTGTGTTGAGGCTGAACTTCCAGAGGTGAGCGGAGGGATGGCCACCGGCAGAGCCAGCAGCAAGGAAGGCCATCGGGAGCATGCCTTCATCCCAGAACCTTTCAATGGGGCTAACGTAGCCCCCAGTGTTTGGCTACACCGCTTTGAAGTTATTGATGACCTCAACCACTGGGACCATACCACCAAACTGAGGTTCTTGAAAGAGTCGCTCAGAGGAGATGCCCTGGATGTCTACAACGGGCTCAATTCCCAGGCCCAGGGTGACTACAGTTCTGTGAAGGAGGCTCTTCTGAAGACCTTTGGGGACTCTGGGGCCGCCCACGGTCAGAAACCCAGAGAGATTCTGTTTGCCAACAGCATGGGTAAGGGCTACTACCTTAAAGGGAAGATCGGCCACGTGCCTGTGAGGTTCCTGGTGGACTCTGGGGCTCAGGTGTCTGTGGTACACCCAAGCTTGTGGGAGGAGGTCACTGATGGTGACCTGGACACCCTTCGGCCTTTTGAAAACGTGGTCAAAGTGGCCAATGGAGCCGAGATGAAGATCTTGGGTGTGTGGGACACAGAAGTGACCCTGGGCAAGCTGAAGCTGAAAGCACAGTTTCTGGTGGCCAACGCAAGTGCAGAAGAAGCCATCATCGGCACCGACGTCCTGCAGGACCACAATGCCGTGCTGGACTTCGAACACCGCACCTGCACTCTGAAAGGGAAGAAGTTCCGCCTGCTGCCTGTAGGGAACTCCTTGGAGGATGAGTTTGACCTGGAGCTCATTGAGGAGGAGCCTTCCGAGGGCTCCCACTAAGAAACCCCTTTCTTTGCCCCCAGGGTTGGTGGTGGGACCTTGTGTGGATGTCCTCAGGGGGTGTCGTTGGGCCTGGCTAGCCTTTCCACTTGTTCTCAGCTTTCTTCCTTCTGCAGGAGCCTTACCTTGCCCCTGGTGGGGGAGGGTGGACAGCTTGGTGGTCTAGAGCAGGGTCTAAGAAAAGCTTCAAGGCTGGCAGAAGCTTCCAGGGACGTTAGGAATATTAGATCCCCTGAGGTGTGGCTCAGTCACCTTCAGGTCTCCAAGCCTGCTCAGCTGAGCTTGATCCTGGCTAAGGCCCCCAGGATTCAGATCCTTGGAGGAGAGTGCTAACTGCTCTGGGATTCCTCCCCAGGAGTCCTCCCTGCCTCACATTGGTGTTCCCTCCTGTCACTTGCCTTGAATCTCATGGAACCTGTGTCAATTCAAAGCACCAATAAAGATCTATTCATTGAAAAATAAAGCAAGTCATGTGCTCAATGGTCGTGACAGAGATGGAGGGGGTGGGAAAACACAAGCATTCCGAGTGCTTGGCCGGGGAGGCAGAGGGAAGCAGTAGTGCACATGGGTCTTGATTTTCCTAAGGCGACTCAACTGTGGCTATTTTAACTTCTGATTTCTCTTGTCCCTTCTACTACTTCTGATTCCTTCATTTTAATCTACAATATTTTTGCAAGCAAATTACCTTTTATGCTCAAAAGTGATCCAAGGCTATTTTGTGAGGTGTTTATCTTGAGGATCAAAATGTTTCTGCCAAGCAAGTAGGTTTTTACTGGTGCCCAGGGAACCGGACTTGGAAGTAGAAGATAAGGCCAGGAGACAGGCACGGGCATGGGTGGCAGCCCTGGGAAGGTCTGGGACTCTGGCAGTTGGGGAAGCTTGGCCATGATGGCTTCCTGGGAGGCTAGGGGATGGAGATGAGGACATTGTTAAGGCTGGGGATCAGCTTGGGTTTCCTGCCAACTTCCTGCCTCCTCTGACGATCGGAAAACTCATCAGCCTTGGGGAGTGGATTGAAAGCCCCAGAGAGGAGCTGCATCGTGGGGCCCAGGAAGGCTTCCACAGACCAAAAATTCAGATGTGCAAGGGGCCCACCTGTTGCAGGGTACTGGGGACAGAGATTTGAGGAGCCTCTTTTTTGCTTGGTGATACTGAGAATTGAACCCAGGGCCTCACACAATGCTAGGCAAGTGTTCTACTACCGAACTATGTTCAACTCTCCTTTTCAAATCATATTTTAATACAATGTCTCACTAAGTTGCCTGGGCTGGCCTTGAACACACTCTGCAACTCCAACGGGCATTAAGCTTATGATCTTTCTGTGTCAGCCTCCTGAGAGTCTGGCCTACCAGGGCTGTGCCACACACCTGGCTGGCCTTTTCCTGCTAGCTGCTTCTCTGGGTCAGAGAATTGGCTGCTCTCTGAGCAGGAGGCAGGAAGCCCGGACTGACCCCTCTGTCAGAGGGGACTTCTGGCCGTTCATAACAGTAATAACATTCTCTTGGCCTGACCTCTTTGGTGCCAGTTATGACTCCCCAGGGTCCTGACTTGGAACCTAATGCCTAGGGTTCACCAAAGCCTGGCTCTGGGCAGCCAAGCCCAGAATTAACTGGAATTAGTTCCTGAGCGTGGGTGAAGAATAGGTGTGGACAGGAGACCTGGTCAACAGAGGGTGGTTTCACTGAGGCCCCAGACTCCACCCCCTCATTTCTTTGGAGGCCTCAGGAGGGCTGCTGTTGTCCTGGGCCAAGCCCTCTCTCTAGGGAGCAAGCCAGTGGCACCTCCCCGTGACCTATTTTTCTTTAAATCCTTTGGATTCTAGCTGCATTCTAGGCTGAAGAAGGGCGGGTGAAGAGAATGGGTGGAGGCAAGAAGGGGACCTAGGAATTGGCTGGCCAGGCCAGAATTCTGGGACACTACCCAAAATGTCCCTGCCCTTCTCCTACCCAGAAAGGGGTTGAGCCCTTGCTGGGTAAATTCCTGTCCCTGCAACACGTGGCACTGTACCTTGGCTTTGAGTAGGTAGAGCCTGGGCTGGCAACTCTCAGCAGTGTGCCCCTCCAAGAGGAATGGTGATCCCCAAGAGGAAGGGCCTTCAGGACGGCCGTCACCAAGAAAGGAACCACAGGCTGCTGGATTAGGCCAGGTGCTTCGTGGGCGTGAGAATGGTGAAATACCATTGATGGAGACGGCCGGGCCTGTTGTGGAGGCTTGCCTAGCATGCAGGAGGAGGCCCCGGTCCACCCCTCAGTGTCACATAAGCTGAGTGCGGTCATACACACCTCCAATCACTGCACCCAGAAACTGAGGACAGGAGAATCAGTCGTTCAAGGTCATCCTTGTTCTAAAAGTCGGAGATCAAGCCAAGCTTCCTGAGACAGTGCCTGCAAAAACTATAATAAACCCACTTTGTTTTGGTGGGCAAAATCCCAGGGCTTTTCTCCAAGGATCGGGACCTAGCTGCCAGAGCAGAGCCATGGAGAAGAGCCATGGGGTTTGGCCATGGGAGACGCTCTCACCACCCGAGGCAGGCTTTCACGCTCCATTTAGAGTTAGTGTCTGGACTCATCCGGCTCTTGGGTAGAGGATGGACTGCAGAGTGAAGAAGGAAGTGTGGATGCCCGGGCAGTGTCTAGAGGAAGGCCGAGATTTGGAGGACACGGATGGTGATGACAGCCAGCTTCCCTGTCCTCTCAGTGTGCGGCTGCCTGGACCGAATTACACTGGCACTTTCCACGGGGAGCTCACAGCAGATAGGCACACCGGGCTCCTCTGGCAGCTTGGCTACCACAGGCCCCATCCAGGCTGGAGCTACGTTAGACAAGTTCCTCATGGGGGCATCCTGCCTCACAAAACTTTAGTGCCCCAGCCTGGGACAGGCTTCACTGAGGAGCCAGCTCCTCACCTGGCAAAGCTCCCACCTTCTCTGGTCACAGCTCCACCCACCAGTCACCCTCACCCCACCCCACGCCCGAGTAGGCTAGATCTTGCTGTATGCTTTTACCCAGCACGTGTTTATTGTATTGTCAAACCTCTGCAATGATTTCAGATTTACAGAAAAGTTGCAATAAAACAAAGAATTTCACGTGGTTACTCAGAGGTTAATAGTCCGTAATTAACTTTACTAGTCTCCCTCATGCAGGTGACCTGTCTGGAAACTGCAGATAGGAAATGCTAACTATTATTTATTTTAAGAAACTTTCTCCCATATAAACATAACAATTACCAAAATAAAAAAAAAACACATACATGTGTGTGTGTGGGGGGGGATTTGTACATGCATGTGGAAGCCAGGGCTCACTACTGAGTATCTTTCTCCACCCTATTTTTAAAAGTTTCTTACATCTGGTTTATTCATTCTGTGTGTGTGATGGTTGCAGGCACATGTGTGATGGTCAGAGGACAGTCTGCAGAGTTAACGCTCGGCTTCTACCATGCGGGTGTGGGAATTGAACTCAGGTCGTCAGACTTGGCGGGGAGCACCTTTACCTGCGCCCTCTTATTTTCTGACAGGGTCTCCCACCGAACCTGGAGCCCAGTCATTTGGCTAGACTAGCTGCCCCGAAAGAGGACCTTGAACTTCTGGTCCTCCTGCCTTCACACCCCCACCACACCCAATGTTAGGGTTAGGGTATGGTTTATGGAGTCCTGGGGACCCGACTGAGGGCTTTTTTGTCTAGGCAAACATTCTACCAACTGAATACCAGCCCCAGCCCTCAATGCCTTTCATCTTGTGAATGAGAGTTCCTGAGAAGAAGCCATGTCCACAAAGGCCAATTAATTTACTGTTGGAAACTTCAGTGACTTGCGAGCTTGGAATGTTGTGGGGTCAGAACTTAATTGCAATTTATCTTGGGCTGTGTTTTGCCTACAAAACAGCCACCCCGTATCTCCCTGCTAGACCTCACATCCTCTGAGTAATAGATAAGGACCTTTTGGAATGAATTACCTTAACCCTATTTTTCCACCAAAGGCCTAAGAGTTTCATCCCAGCATCCGAGGCAGATAGCTGAGACTTCTCAGCTTTGCCCTAACCACCTACTTAATGTTTCCACCAGTGTATGTGAACAGTGTCTTGATCTATAACTTTCTTTGCTCTGTCACTATGAAATCTTCATGAACTGCTTCCTCATTGGAACATGGAATTCGTGGTAACCTAAATCTGTGTTCCTGGCCATAGTCACTCATATTTAGCTCCAGAACAAACTCCCTTTTATTCCCTTCAAGGTAATAACTGTTTTTGCATTGATGGTCTTACCACTCGCTCGGTCTAGATTTGGAGTTGTCTGGGACACCTACCTGGTGATTTTGCAGAATGGCCTTCACTTTCTCCTGTTTTTTTTTTTTTTTTTTCTTCATTATTATGGACTTGGTGGGAGAACACCCCGGAGAGATGTTCTTAGGCATCATGTCAGGGATGCAGGGTGCTCACTTGTTCCAGAGCTGGTAATGCAGGCTCGTTTGCTTGTTCAGGGTTCCACCAGCCACGTTTCTCCACCCTTGGGTGACTCCGTTTCCCTGTGAAATGAGTCGGTGTCATACAAAGACCACCTGAGGCTCTACAAATGGTTCTCCTTCAATCCTGAAGTGGTGAAGATGCTGCTGCAAGCTGAGCCATCTTCCTGGGAGGGCCTCCTAGTGGGATCTTCCAGCCTGGCCCTGTCACTAGCTGCTTTGCACCAGAGGACTGGGCTCCCCCACTCTGTTCATCCCCTGGTTCTGTTGCCACTGCTCATCAGCATCTCTCTAATATGGGGTTATTCCTAGGTGGTGTCATGGTTGATTCTGATGTTTGGGTTGTTTCAAATAACCGGCCTCTGTCTTCTTGGGACATTCTTCTATTGTAATGGAGCCCTCCTGGGTGGTGGTGCACACCTGAAATCCTAGATCGTGTGAGGCAGGGGCAGGAGGATCTCTCTGAGTTTGAGGCTAGCCTCGACTACCTAGCAAGACTCTGTCTTGAACAGAAAGCAGGCAGTTGTCCTAGGGTAACCAGGAGGGTCTGTGTGGGTTTGCTTACCTCACCGAGACCTGGCTTATGTGGGTATAGTGTTTTCCCCTTCTCTTCTGTCGTTTTCTCTCAGCTGCTGGCTTTCCCAAACAAAAGGGCTTCATTCT